GAGGGATCGAGAGTTCAAGATTGCTTCAATCTGAGTCAGTGCAGTGTAAAGTTCCTCATAAGTCAGGTGACAATTGCCCAACACTCCAAGCAAATGATGTTTTGTCGACTTGACTCCCGCCTTCCAGAGACCGCCGAAGTGAGGAGTATATGCCGGAATAAAATGAAAATTAATGTCCTCATTGGCCATACTTTCGCTCAATAAGTTGCATTTGCTTTTTAAGAATTTTGATAAATCATTGTATGCACCAACAAATGAGGTTCCGTTATCGGAATAAATATTAACGGTTTTACCCCTTCGAGAAATAAATCTACGTAATGCCAGCAAATAGTTATTTCTTGTTAAGTCACCTACTAACTCCAAGTGAATAGCCTTGGTAGTAAAGCAGATGAAAATACAAATATAAGCTTTAACTATCCGACACCGATAATCACCGATTTTCAAAGGGACGGGTGGATCTAGCAAGTTGATATTTATATCAGATATTGTATAGATAGATGTATAAAAATCAAGGGAAAGAGATTTTTAATTTAAAATACCAAAATGTACCTTAATGTTCAACTTTTATTATTTTTCGTAATTTTTTCTTTACTTGTGCTGTAAGGCCTGCTTTTAACCAAAATTGACAATTGTCGGGCACAATGGCCATTTTTGAAATGGTTACCCTGATTGAAACCAACGGTCTTTTTCTTTTTTTTTTTCTTTTTTTATTTTCTCCCTTCGTATTTGCTGGACTTCTAAAGTTCGTCATAAAGCCCTAAACTAAATAATTATGTAACTAGGTTCTTTAAATATTTTAGCAGTTAGCATCTCAATCCTGGTTCAATTATTTTAAATTGGCGTGTAAGTATTTACTTTCCTCTATAATATATGTTGTTAGTTGGTACCGTCATAAAGGTTTTTTTGTTTTTACTTTCGTAATTTAATGTTGTGATGGTATCCACCTTCTTATTGTCTACTCCAATTTATATTCTGGCATATTGATTTTATATTTAATATCCATAAGTTAATTGAGAAATTCTTCGTTCACTGAAGCACGTGATGAGTAGTAACTAAGACTAGAGATGCTATTCCTAAATTCTAAAGGCCCATTTACACGATGCCATTTTCTTGAACATACAAGAGCAATAATTGAATGCAATAAATTGCGCGCAATAATTGTTTAGACCATTTGTTGTTTAGACCATGCAACTCATGTATTGCTTCAATTTAATTGTATACAACAGGCAAGAAACTTGCCCCGTGTAAATGGGCCCTAAGTTTCCTTATTTTTCTTAATTATTTCAGATCAACGTGGTATATACAATAACAAAAATTTAATGACCCGTCAACCTATAATTCGGTTTCAACATCTGTAATGTTCTAAATTCTAATGCAGTGATCCTCAATTTCGAATTTCCATTGAAATAAAGATCATTATAATGGTAAGGTAATTTGTTAATATATTCCATTTATTTTATATTCCCATAATAGGTATTATAATAACAGTTTTTTACGTCAGTTTATGTTTGTATGAACTGAACATAATTGTCTAGCTTGAGGATTGATCTTTTAGATGCCTCTACAATCTACGACGCAATAATGTTTTCCCACATATTTCAACAGCTTAGTCTTAGTAGACAATTTATTAACGGTAAGTAAGGTTTTGTTTACTGCTTTCTGAGTTCCTATTGTTCTTTTTTCTTGCCCAGTGGCATGAGGTTTACTTCAAGAAAATAAGTGATACATAAATGTAGTAAATTTAAAAAATAAAACTAGTTTTACCATAATTTATTTCAATTTTTAATACAAATACAATAAGAACAATGATGTAGGTATACCTGACTATTTCACTTGTTGCATGTAAAATTAATTTAATGAGATTGTTTCTGTTAGAAATTTATATTCCTTATGAGATGTTACAGAAATATCACACCTACCATCCAGAAAATAAGCATACAAAACAATTTAAGGCTAATAGAAAATAAAAAAAAAATCCCGTATTAGCAGTTCAATGAGCGTGTTGATGCTGATTTGGAAGAGGGATGCCGTCTTCTGTTCTGATGGTAATTCTTTAAATATTTTTAAATAACTTCTTAGATATCTTAATAATAATAAATAAAAAACAATAAGTCAAAAGCACATTTCACCTGAAGTTGAAATTTTTTTATCTATTTTTAAGACATTTAAATGTTTTCATCAAGTCTACTGCTGTATAGATATATACTGGTTAATATAAAATAAGGAAAGGTTGTAACTACAATAAACCTGATCCAGGTAAAATTGTTTCTTTTATATTTTATTTTCCAAGTTTGAAATCTAAACAAGCTCCTGGAAAAGGGCTAATTTTTCTCAATTTCTGAACCTTCATTACAAGTATCACTTCTTCTTTCTTTAATAAATGGCTTCACTTAAAAGAATTCTGCCAATATAAAAGTACTCCAACAAAGAGTAATGAATGTACTTCTAAAGTGATCATAAAAATATAATATGGCTGATTAAAAAAGAGTTAATTATAAGCAATTAAAGTAAATTGGGAACATTGACATTGCATTTCCATGTTATTATTTTTGCAGAGAAGATCTTAATAAACATTAATTTGTTCAACAAATAAATCCAAGTCTCTTGCATTTCAGATGAGTGACTCGGTGAGACGAAATGTAGCAGTCAGTTTGATCTCCTTACTAGGTAAGCATTGGGAATATTTTGAATTTCATTCCTGTCCTATTATATTTTTGTCTGATCTGTTAAAAAATAGCTATTGAAGAAATATTTTTGAAAATTATTTGTAATTGGAATTTCCAGTGAAGTTTGTTTGTTTAGTTACACTTTTTAAATCATATCATTTAATCTGTTAATGAGTAATTCAAAATTGATATACACATTAATGTGATTCAATATGACATGGTATGGGCATACTATGTGAAGGGATGAAAGTCATATGACTAGAAGAGTGGTGAGTGTGAATGTGGTCAGAAGGTGTAAGCTAGAGGAGGGCTGAGAATGCTTTGATGGACTGTATGAAGAAAATATTTTTGTGTGATGAGTGCGATGACTGCTGATAAAGTAAGGTGGAAGGAAGGTTGTTCCAATCCTGCCTAGTGAGGGATATAGGGGCAAGAGAAAAAAATGTGATAGAGTATGATCAATAATTTATTTCACATAAAAATGTAACACAAATTTTAATCCTTACTAATATTATAAACGCGAGAGTTTATATGTATGGATGGATGTATGTTACTCTTTTTCACGCAAATACTACTGAATGAATTCTAATGAATGTTTACAATAATATATCAGAATAAGACATAGGCTATAATTTATATACATATTTTTATATATATTTTTCTTTCTGTCTGAATGTTACGTCTTCAGCCTATTCTACGCAGGCATAGTCGCGCGAAGCAGCTAGTAAATTATAAATTTTACGCATTTATAATATTCGTAAGGCTATAAATTAATATTATGTACACACATTAAATATTTGTGTTCTATATGGAGTATTATATTAATTATTATACCTTAAGTACTGCATTTACCCAGCTTATCAGTTTTTATGACGGATATATTATGTACATATATGGATTGACTTTATCCAATTTAATCCATATTTATTTTGATTTGTTGCACCTACAACAGTTTCTTGGTTTGGAAGAGAATGCCAACAGGCATTATGTCCTTGTCAAAATAAGATTCAATTATTTGTTTTGTACAATACTGAATTTAATGATATAGAAATATCATTAAGTTCAGTATTGTACAAAATTGGATACAGTAAGAATACTGTAACCAGTTTTTTAATGTTCAAAGTTGCCAGAAAAGCAGACTGTTCTCTTTAATTTAAGTTATTACCGCCGCAACTGGACAGATACATCACCTGACGGGTTGCGGTTAACTCACTTTCCACACGAAATGCGAAAGAATAATACTTCAACTTCACGCTGGTCATCTGTTAATCTGCTCATTCGCGTATCAGCCGTAGCTGTTGTGTGGCCCAAATAAACTTTAGACACAACAAAAGCAAATATTTACTGACTTAAGATTCATGCTTTCTTAACATATTATATTCACTTAAGAGCAAATAATTTCCAGTTCCATGTTGGATTGGCGTTACAAGAATATTGTTATTGAAGAGTTAACAACTAGTTTGGATGGGCGCGTGTCCAACACTACCGCATCAGGAAGCCAGTACTCAGAACCAATGGAAGCGTTATTGTCAACAACAATCAACTATTACTAACACCCTGCACAGAACCAAGAGGTAATACTTCGTTTTTCTTTTAAATTCCATTTTATTACCGATAATTGCAAGTATATGAAAAAATCTTGTTCAGTGCTATGAATTCGCATGCAGATTTTTCAAAATATTATCACATATTATTTTGGTATTATTAATTTTTTTTTATTATTACTAATTAAACAATCTCATTTTCTGAGTTATAAAGTCGATTTTCAGGCGTCATTGATATCTATCCCACTTACATATACGTCCGACGAATGCGTCGGGTATATTATGCAGGGTACACGCCGTGCACTATCCCTCTTTATGAAATACTGGAAAAATCATTCTTATTAAAATAAAGCCGGCAAGAATCCAGAAGACATCCAGAAAAGTAGGCAAATAGCAAAAAAGGCCAAATTCAATCTTGGTTGTTCCTGTCTGGAGAGTCCATCTCGACATCGAGAATACCTTCGACCGAGTGTGGCTCGTTACCGTCGCAGAACAAAACTTAACTAACATAGCTGCCCAATTAACACTGCAGTCACGGTTAGGGAACACTTGTTTGATTACAAGTCATAACCGACTGGCCCTCGCCAGCAGTAACTAGGGATGGCAACAGTAACTAGCAATGGGAATATGGTTCAAAGGGGTTGGAATAACACAGGTTCAGATTTGAAAATCCATTTTCAAAATTGATTTTTTTCAACAAAATGTTGAAGAGACGTGGACATTAGCACAATTAACATGCCGATAATGAATGTCGAAGACAGTGATCTGTAAACAATCAATCAAGTTTCTACAGGTGATGGCATACCTTGCTTGCGAGCTGCTTCTGTGGAAGATGGGATGGCTCTTTTGTGAGCTGCTTCTGGTTTCTGTGGATGATGGGATAGCTCTTTTGAGAGCTCCTGGTCTCTGTGTATGATGGAATAGCTCTTTTGAGAGCTGCTTCTGGTTTCTGTGGACAATGGGATAGCTCTTTTGAGAGCTGCTTCTGGTTTCTGTGTACGATGGGATAGCTCTTTTGAGAGCTGCTTCTGGTTTCTGTAGACAATGGGATAGCTCTTTTGAGAGCTGCTTCTTGTTTCTGTGTATGATGGAATAGCTCTTTTGGGAGCTGCTTCTGGTTTCTGTGTACGATGGAATAGCTCTTTTGAGAGCTGCTTCTGGTTTCTGTGTACAATGGGATAGCTCTTTTGAGAGCTGCTTCTGGTTTCTGTAGACAATGGGATAGCTCTTTTGAGAGCTGGTTCTGGTTTCTGTGGACGATGGAAAAGCTTTTTTGAAAGCTGCTTCTGATTTCTCGAACAGGAACGAGGACAATATGATTGCTAAAGTTAAAATTTAATTGGGAAAACATAAACGCCTAAGAGCTGCACAAGTTAACCTGTCGGTGATTGACCGTGATATTAAACGCATTACCGCATTAATAGCAGGTGACCTTCTGAACTTAAAGAGACCCTGGAAGAGACCAAAGATATTAAACAACACTAACTACTCAAAGTTGGCCCCAATTTTTCAATCATCTAAACATAGTGTATTTGGATTTGTGATGACAGGTAATTTCTTTTACATTACATTCTAACTAGATTAATAATATTTATGTTTATTGTTCACAACATTGGATGTATAAAATTTTCACATTAGTTTATGAATGCAAAGGTCTTAATCCTCCCATAGCTTTGGCTCAATTATTATAAATAACATGTATTAAAGATGATGTGGCCAAAACTCCAGTAATGTTTTTTTTATTATATTTTATTATATTATTTTATTAGATTTTAATATATTTATATTTTGTTTGATCGCATACTTTAAAGCAGAATATATAAATGAACTTAGCAAAAAAAAATTTCGGTATTCATTTAGGTGCTGCTAGTTAATATAGTTATGTTTCTGGTTTATTTTTAGGTGTAATTGTTCACAATTTTCCAAATCTTTTGAAGAACTGTGAGGTATTTAAAAAATGGGTGGAATTAGCAGGTGAATATGTCAGAGGCATGACTGATGAGCAGATCCATAAGAGCAAGAAATTAATAAACATTTTTACTGAAAATGCCAAAAAACGCAACAATCATCTCAATAATTATCAACTACGTAATGATTTAAAATATCAAGTATGTATAGATTCCTATATTAAATATATATAAATTAGCCATGACATAATATAATATAGTTAGCTCTAACACTAATTATGTAAATATTGTTTCTTAGACCAAACATTTATTTATTTATTCATTCGAAATTGGCCAGTGTTTGACTGCCATCCCACCTGATGGTAAGTGCGCTAGCTCAGTCAAAATCTGTTCACCTTATCACCCCTTTCAGCCTTGAAGATGCCTATGTTATAATAGGAAAATGTAGACAAGATCAACTATATATTATATAAACAGTTAAAATATATGCATTTTTAACTTCACAGTGTGGAGTAATGTTAGTAACAACAAATGTCTGGTGTTATCCCATGGGATGCTTTTAAGCATAAGTTTGCTTGTGTTAGGCAGCACCACTCTTCCATAGCATACTTATAATAAACTTAACTAAATACATAACAAATTTATAAACCTAATTTAAAAAAAACTGTGTGTGTGTAACTTAGCATCAACTCCATTTCAGCATAACTTTTAGCCTTAAGCCATTAAGAACCACGCAAATGTAAATGTAATGTCAAATCACTTAAAATCCTTCGGTTTGGAAGAATTGAAAAAACGAATGATTAGTTAATTTTTAGAATCTCCATGTTAAATGTGCATATTCATCACATTTTACCATCTACATCCCAATTGCCTGCACTACCTGTAACAGCTAAAATTAACTTATAATTTTAGTTTTAATTCTTTGTATTGGCACTATCAACTACTGACCCTGTAGAAGGCTACTTCTAACCCTTCCAAACCCAAGTATTCAAAGTGATTTGACAAGCATGGTTTTGTCATTACTAATTAGCAATGCAATGAGGAAATCACTGATATGATGATAAGTTTTAGGCTTTTTAGAGCAAAAACAATTTTCCATGTCACACTGCATTTAAAACATTAAAATCCTGTGTGGCAATTCACGTTGCTCATCATTCTGAGATTTTAGATAATTGTCTGCCAAATGTATGGTATTTCCTCAGACTAATTGTGTAAAACTATTGGTTCCACCACTACATTTCAGTATCACAATAAATATCTAATTAATGAAACTATTATTTTCAGAAACACACCTTTGGGCATGGACACCAAAATACTAGCCACTTCTATTTGACTGCTTCCAATGAACTGGGCCGGGCGCATCGTCAACAACCAGATCATGTCCGATCGCCTGGACTCTGGCCTTGCGAAGAGATGTTGCATCCCTTTGCATTTTCTATCGGATATATGACAATTGGGCAATTTTGTGGGCCTAAATCAAACTTAACACAGTCAACTATCCCCCATGCGCTGGTGCGGTTAGTGGCTTCGTATTCATCGATGGTGTCGAAACGTCGCCAGTGAAGAAAAGCCAGTGTTCGATAGGGGGCTGTTTGACCTCAACCCCGTATGCGTTCTTTTTTTTACGTGGGACTTTAAAGACCCACGTTGCAACTGCGCTGCCTCTTTTGCCGAGGACACGAAAAAGCAATCTTCCACGAACGCCGGCGCAACTGTGGCCTTCTCAGGCCTCCTCTTTCCGGGTGTTAGGACGCCTGGTTCAGCCACATGCAGTGTCGGTGACGCGCTTTATACCAAACGTGATACAGTTTGAGGACTTTAATCCGGGTAAGAGCGAAAATGTACTGTCGGCCTGTTTAGGGCTATATAATAGGGCGTCTATTAATAATATTAATATTATTATTAATTCATCATAATAAAGATCATCTAAGATGATAATAAAACGATTAAGAACGATTAATCACAATAACAGTTAATGATATACTTAAATTAAAGAAATGTAAGTCTTAATATGGAAAAAAAATATTGCCAAAAATTAGGTAAAAACATTTAAAATAGTCAAAAAAGGATATTTATTCAAAATATAGAAAGATACAATCACTATTATGTCAATAAAATATAATTCCATAAGTGATTACTAAGGAGAGTAAACGTGGCACCAGTAAGCAACGTGTCTTGAGCGAGGGACATATCATCGAAAGCTGGTGGTGGCTGGCGTCTTAGTGTATTGCACTATGATACGTCGACTGATCATTTAACTTTGGGAAGTCTGATGGCGGCTGGCTTCTAAGTGTATTGCAATATGATACGCCGACTGATCATTTAACTTTGGGAAGTCTGATGGCGGCTGGCTTCTTAGTGTATTGCAATATGATACGTCGACTGATCATTTAACTTTGGGAAGTCTGATGGCGGCTGGCTTCTTAGTGTATTGCAATATGATACGTCGACTGATCATTTAACTTTGGGAAGTCTGATGGTGGCTGGCTTCTAAGTGTATTGCAATATGATACGCCGACTGATCATTTGACTTTGGGAAGTCTGGTGGTGGCTGGCTTCTAAGTGTATGTGCAATATGATACGCCGACTGATCATTTGACTTTGGGAAGTCTGGTGGTGGCTGGCGTCTTAGTGTATTCCAGTATGATACGTTAGCTATTACTTGGCTTGGGTGGGGGTCCGTTGGTGGTTTGCGTCTTAGTGTTTTCACTATGATACGTCGACTATCTTTTGGACCATACGATCGGCGAGATGCCGTTCTACGTTATAGCTATATCCTTGCGGTGAGCTGTGACTCATAACGCGCTCTGCGACGAAATGTCGTGCTGACCTTATAATTGGTAATGATTTCTAAATACTAACATCACGTCTGCAGTCGCGGCGATCTGGAAAAAGTGGTGGCGGTCCTCCAGGTTATACTTATATTAATGAGCCAGAGTGCCTGAATATTCAACTTGTGCCCAAAACCGTATTGACGTACATTCACTAAGACTGGATTTGTTGTTGGCTTGTATGACGTTTACACGCATTAACATGTGTGACTTGGCTCAAAGTTTGTGCTAACGCATTGCCAAGGGGCCAAGGCCTCTTTATGATGGTAAAACAGCTTAGCAATGGACTTCGGTCCTTTCCCCAACTTCCCTCTTCGCGGGGAGCGCGGTTGATGGTTGGCGCTCACCGCACACGGCGTTGGTAAGTGTTTTCATGGAGCCGTGTGCCTTCCCCATATTTTTTAATTTTATTTTATAAAATGTGGGGGAGTGATTAACTTGTATCGGGTATTTAAATTTAATGTGAGCCCTTTTCAATAGAGAAGGAATATTAGTTTAAAATAAAGCGTGGGAGTATACTATATACTCTGAGCCCGTCCCAAGCGAGTCGGGATTAGTGAATAAGGAAGCAATCTGGCATTATCTTCGGCTTGTACCGCGACTAGTGAATATTTATCTAGCCAACATACACCTAAAAGAATCAGTTTACTAAGTAAACACAAGGTAAATGGAGTCCTACTGAACATGACGATCATAATAATATTTTATACGGCTATTTATTACCTTTAGAAAGATCAATAATTTATCTTATCCACAAAATGATGTTATTGAATTTATTCATATAACGGGGCAAAATATAAAGTCTATATTAAATATAAAGAAGACTTGTTTCATTTCAGGTCTTGGCAGCCTTAACTACGTCCGAGCAATGGGGATATGGCCCAACAAGGTTGCACCCAGACGGACAGAGACCCGCAAATCAATTTTCCGCTTTTTGTTGGAGAGTCATGAGGACATGAGCATGGTTTACGTACCGATAAATATTGAAGAATGCTATCTGTAAGTAATTAATCACGTTATCAGAGGTGACGGAAATGCTCTCCTGCAACCTCTTCCTGGTTTCTATAGAGAATGTGAAAAGAGCTATCTTTTGAGAGCTGCTTCTGGTTTCTGTGGATGATGGGATAGCTCTTCTGAGAGCTGCTTCTGTTTTCTGTGGATGATGGGATAGCTCTTTTGAGAGCTGCTTCTGGTTTCTGTGTATGATGGGATAGCTTTTCTGAGAGCTGCTTCTGTTTTCTGTGGATGATGGGATAGCTCTTTTGAGAGCCGCTTCTGGTTTCTGTGTATGATGGGATAGTTCTTTTGAGAGTTGATTCTAGTTTCTGTGGACGATGGGATAGCTCTTTTGAGAGCTGCTTCTGGTTTCTGTGGATGATGGGATAGCTCTTTTGAGAGCTGCTTCTGGTTTCTGTGGATGATGGGATAGCTCTTTTGAGAGCTGCTTCTGGTTTCTGTGGATGATGGGATAGCTCTTTTGAGAGCTGCTTCTGGTTTCTGTGGATGATGGGATAGCTCTTTTGAGAGCTGCTTCTGGTTTCTGTGGATGATGGGATAGCTCTTTTGAGAGCTGCTTCTGGTTTCTGTGGATGATGGGGTAGCTCTTTTGAGAGCTGCTTCTGGTTTCTGTGGATGATGGGGTAGCTCTTTTGAGAGCTGCTTCTGGTTTCTGTATATAATGGCGTAGCTCTTTTGAGAGCTATTTCTTGTTTCTTGAACAGGACAACGCTTGAGATAATATCATAAGCTGCTAGTACTATAATTTTCACCTTTTTCATCAGGTCCGAAATATGTGGAGGAGCAGAAACTGGACAAACAGGCAACGGTGAGTTTGAGATTTGAGAAATATAGAACTGAAAATTGCTTCATGCACTTGGATTGCATGCATAGAGAGGATCCAATTGCCTAAAGTACGCTACATTACACTGAGCTGCAAATATTATGAAAGCAGACACTTAATTGTTCTTGTTCGCAGGTGTTCTCTTCCCTACTGTGACATCGGTGTCATGGTCAAGCGCTTGCTGTACTTTGAAAAATATCGTTCAATGGCTGAGATTTTCATTATAGCATTGTAAGTTATTTATTTATTTATTTTATTTATTTTATGCGAAAAGTTGTCAAACGAGCAGTCGGTTCACCTGATGTTAAGTGAAAACCGCCGCCCATGGACATCTGCCACACCCGAGGGTTACAGATGCGTTGACAACCTTTTGAAAATTGGGCTCCGGCTACCTCACTCACCAGACGAAACGCGAAAGTATTTGTCATACTTCCACTTTACGCTGGTCTTCTGTGAGTTCGTGGTACTTACCCGGACGGGCCTGCCCATTCGTGCAACAGCCGAGGCTGCTACGTGGCCCTACCACCGTTAAACCGTCTTTTGGATCTTAGTTAACAGTTCCATACTTCATATACTCTAACGCAAAAAGTCACGTTAACATGCCTTTTTAGATAGTTTTATGTATGATAACCCACCGGCGGTGGTCCATAGGCAGCTCTGAGCGAAAGTTATTCGTGAACGAGCCGCCCCGTCCGCACCCCGACTGAGACACCGGTCGCCGCAGCTGATAACATCGACACCACCAGCGGCGCACCTACTACCTCAAGCGACAAGACGCCTGTGACAATGTGTCGGTTAATCCGAGGTCCGACATGATTATGTTCGGGCCGAGGCACCTAAGCCCGCACGCCCGCAGAAAACTACACGCCCGCACAGCTCACCGGGTGGCAACATCACCGCGTGTTATGTCGGCCGTTACCTTTTGTGACCTGTTGTGTTTCTGGGAGCAATATTTCGACACTGGGGCGAGGGCATACTCGCAAACGACCCGGTCATCCGTTGACTCCTCGAGTTCACCCCTACGTATCCCACTACGAATCGGAGCAGTTAGGTGGCGAATCGGCCTGGACCGACGGCACATGCTATGCAACTTTTGCGAAAGAAAGTAGGTAAGGGCGCCTCAACTATTCATCCTAGACATAATCCGCAGCCCTCGACATCATATGCGGCCACTGCAGCCGCACCAGTCGCCATACAACATAGGCGTAAAACTCCTACACCGCCGCCGAAGACTACCGCGGCGCCAACTAGCACCGCCACGACCGCTACAAATACGGAGGGAACATCTGCAGCACAGCAACGCCGGGCCCTTCGGCAGAGAAGTCCGATTCCTACCACAGACTTCTGAGGAATACAGGATTATTCAACGCCACCTCGCCAAAGCCGCGAATATGCTGGTACTGTTACATTCCTCAAAGAGCTATCAAAGTGGGCCTAAGGGGGCTCCCTTCCGCGACCGAGCCTGAAGAAATTGTGCTCGCCTTAAGAGACCTCGGTTTCCCGGCGCAGCGATAGCGCCCAGGCGGGGGCTATATTATATTGCATTGGACGACCTCAACATCCAGGAGCTTACACGGCTATATTCAGTAAGCGAACTTTTATTCATGCCGAGAATACAGATAATCCTTTATGATAGAATTTATAATAACCTTAGTGAATTTTAAACGTAAATTAATATTAAATAATGCTAAGTGTAACAATGTTATTCTAAAACCAAGTTATATATTTCATTAGTGTGCGCAATGCACGTTTCAGTGTGCTGGATTGGTAAAGAAACAAGAATGTCGTGAAGACAGAAAGAACACTGTTTATTTTCAGACGTTTGTACAAGGTTTTTCTTATGCAATAAAACGTTCTTCTTTCTTGCCGACTTCTTCTAGTTGCTTGTTCCACTGGTAGATCTTGATGCTTGTCGACTGCGATGATGCCCTTTTTTTTTTTTTGTTGGCTGGATGAGCCACTGTTGGCCTTAGGGGCCTTTACAGATCCGACGGACTTGAGGGGGCCGGGCGCTCGAGGCGCCTGGCCTGAACCTCGCGTATTTATTATTACGCGTTATGGCGACTAAGCTCGAGGGCTCCCGAAGGAACCTCGGCTCGGGCCGTCACGCTATTAGTTTTACCGGTTTGGGAGGCCGCCAAGCTCTTAGGGCGCTTTGGCGGACGCTCCATGGAGTGATCAGGCTCAAGGGTCCCCGAGAGGGGACCCTTGACGACAGGTGTCGTCAGCAAAGAGGGCAAATTCTACATCTTTGACACGCGGTATGTCATTGGTGTAGATCGTAAATAGGACTGGGCGAACACTGACCCTTGGGGCACCCCGGCTCGAACGGGATGCGGTGACGACTGCACGCCCTCGACGCGATAGCGAAAGGTCCGATTACTCAGGAAGTCTCGTATTATCCATACGAGATGGTCGGGCACTCCGTACCCGTATAACTTGTATACGAGCCCGTTGTGCCAGACTTTGTCGAACGCCTTTGCTACGTCCAGGAAGAGTGCTCCGGTGTTGAACCCGCGTTGTCGTTTGGCTAGAATGTGCTCCGTGATGCGGTGCATTTGGTGGGTACATGAATGTTTGGCTCTGAATCCAAACTGTTCTGGGATGGGGAGGCCTTTAGTGTCCATAAGGGATCTTAGGCGGGCTAATATTAGTCTTTCAAAGATCTTCCCAAAAGTTTTGAGAAGACTTATTGGACGATAAGAGGTTGGGAGAGTGGCGGGTTTGGAGGGTTTGAGGAACCCTATGACATCAGCTTCTTTCCATTCGGACGGGAAGAAGCCTTCGGTTAAGGCCGCGTTGTACATTATAACTAGGATCTGAAGGATGCTAGCAGGAAGGAGTTTGGGGTCACCTTATTGGTGATGCCGTCTGAGCCAGGCGCTTTGCGTGGGCGTAGTTTTTTGATGGTCTCTACTAGTTCTAGGCACGTGACCGGGGGAACGGGATCGCGAAGTGGCTCTAAAGCTTTCCTTTCAACCTCTTCGTTCACCTTGCGGAGGTGTTCTGGGTTGACCGGAAGCAGACTAGGGGCGCATTGGGACTCTAGGCTGTCAGCTAGGCATTCGGCTTTCTCTTCGTCCAGCATTGCTGGCGTTCCTATCGGGCAGATTAATGGTGGCATGTTTAAAGTGGAGTTTCCCTTTAAGGATTTGGGAAGTTTCCAGAAGGCTCGGCTTCGGTTTAATTGAGGCTAAGGTGGAGTCCCACCGATCGTTTCGTGAGTCTGCTATGCGTGTTTTGACTTCACGCTGCAATTTACGTAGCAGTCTGCGATTCGAGTTGGTGGGATATGTATCGTAGGCACGTGTGGCAGCATTCTTGTGTCTCAATAAGTCACGTACATCGTCTGGCAGGGCCCAGCAATGGTCGTCCCATTGCTGGGACCTGTCTCGAGCATTGCTCGACGACGGTGTTGACGTGGCTCGTGAGAGCCCGAATTGCTGTTTCAGTGTCCTGTTTGTTATTAAGTTGGTCTGGGATTGTCTCTAATAACTGAGGAATGGGTTCGTTAAGTTTGGTTTTTACTTTGTGCCAACTAATGACTGTTTTGGTTTGGGGAGCGGCTTTTGCTAAAGGCCCTAGCCGAAGAAGAACTGGTCTGTGATCTGAGTGAAGCTCATGTATCACTTCTGGATCCCGTATGGAGAGACTGATGTTTTTGATGACTGCAATATCAAGCACATCCGATGAGTGTTCCGCTATGTAGGGAAAGTGCGTATGTTCGAAGGGGGCTACAACTTCAAAGTTGAGCCTGTCGGATAGCGAGTCGAGTGCGATACCTCGACTGTTGGTGCGTGTCGAGTTCCATCGGGTGTGCTTGCTGTTGAAGTCGCCAGCTAGGATGGTGGCTCCTCCTATAGAGAAGAGGGCCTCGAAATCTGATTGCAATATTGTTGCAGTTGATCTGCAAGGGAGGTATACTGATGCTAAGGTGATAGGAGAGTGGCCGGTTAGTGCCAGCTGACAGACGGATGCCTCGAGATGCGTGAGCGCGGGCGTGTCTACCGGTACGCAGTGGAGGGATTTTTTATAGTAAATTAGTGTGCCGCCGCCCGGGGCGCCGGCACGGTCGTTTCTAACTATCCGATAGTTGGGGATGTGCGGATCCCTTGTCGCGGGTTTCAGGAACGTTTCCTGAATTAATAATACGTCGATTTGGTGATCGCGCAGAAAAATACGTAATTCGTCGCGTTGTTCTTTGAGCCCGTTCGCGTTGTAGAAGGCTACGTTGATCGATCGCGGTTTGACTCTGCCATTAATACGCATGGCAGAGGGACTGATATTTAAGTTATTATCGTTTGTGGTTGTACTATCCATATTGGGTTTCAACAGACAGCGCAGCAACTATGTGCTGGTACTGGTTGAGAAGGAGTATTCTTGAACCGAAGTCGCCTTTGGCATATTGCTCGGCGAAATACATAACCTCCGCCATGTTGACGGTTCGGAGGAGTTGACTTAGCGGAGGGAAGGAGGCGGCCGTTGGAATCGGCTGCCTCCTTGTTGCCTAAGGGGCGGGCCTAATGGGTCTGCGTTTTGATGCGTTGGGGCAGCCAAGATAATTGGCTGTGTGTCCCTCCGACTGGCAGAGGACGAATGCGGGTGGACCGTAGTCGGCCAGAAGTGCCTTGTCCCTAGGTCTGGGACATTCTGGGGTGCCGTGGTCGCCTAGGCACTTTACGCACCTGGGCTTGGCAAAGCAGTTACGGGCGGCGTGCCCGTAATTCTGGCACTTGTGGCACTGTCCCGGGAGGGGGTGGCCTTGTGCGGGGGTTCGATGACTATGTTAGTCAGTCCTATGACTGACTCGATATTAAAAATGGCTTTCCCTTCTGGGGATAGGTCTAGGTGGACCATAACCATGTCTATCGGGGAGCGCTTTCGCTTACTTTTCATGCGGTGGACCGCATGTACAGGGAGGTTTTGCTCTTTGAGAGACTCTAATACTGTTTTTGTTGAGATATTGGCTGGTATACGCTTTATGACGGCGCGTAGGATACGATCCTCGGCCAGCGTATAGGTGTGGTAAAACATCTGTTTATCCCTTAAAAATTTGGAAACTTGACGGTCGGCGTCGGCAGTTTCAAGCTGAAGCTTGATGCCTTGTGCGGTTGTCGTAGCTACAAATTTTACCCTGTTTGATAGGGCGGAGGCTATCATCGGCCACTTATCAGTGTCCCGAATGAATAATGGAGGTGGGCGCTTGTCCTGCAGCGCACGGGGGGCTGCGGGGGTTGGTTGTGAAGCAACCGGAGTTGGTTGGTTCGCTGAAGGCGATGGGGTCGGAGGAGTGGGCCTTGAGGGCCCGGTTACGGCTGATTCCGTCGGCCTAGGCGCCTAACTGGCGGAACGGGGGATGGAGCCGTTGAAGACGGCTGCGAAGAGCGCTTCTTGCGCTTCTTCTTGTTCACCACTTCGGTGAACAAACCTCCCTCGTCGGCGTCGGGAGAAAGGGGCGAGACTAGCTCCATTTCCTCTTGCGAGGAGGAGCTAGCTGCAGCATCGTCGGATGATGAATTGGACGCCCTTGAAGAGGGCGTCGAAAGTCCCTTTAACACCTGAAGGGTGTCAGGGATTGCTTCCGGGTACTTTTCCCGGAGAAACTCTAGAATGGCCTTTACTTCGGCCATTTTTAATTAATTTGGACGTAAATTTTTAAAAAGCAATAAGCCCGGTGGGATGCCGGAGTGTGTGCCCGTATCCCTCCCTGCCCGGTATAGGCAGGGAGGATGAGTGCCTAGGTTGTGTGGCCCTAGTGCATCCTTGTGCCGATCTTATCGTGCTCTCGGGTGTGTACTTATGATTAATTAAAACTACCCGGGGGCGCTAAATGGCCAAACGTGGACCAACGCTGACTAGGGACTACACCCAAGGCCAGTAATGGAGGTCCCTTCCGAAAATTATCTCTCCTAAGAACCGCAAGGCAATCGGGGCAAGCCTTGGCTAGCTTCGTTAGCACCGTTAGGTATCCACTAGCCCTAGGACGTTGAAACAGAACCTAAGCTAAGCGCGTTGGTCGGCGCAGTCAAAACTGCACCTCGCAACTCGACTTGCGAGCGGGGTGTCCACTCGTAATAAAAATATATATATATATATATATATATATATAAATAGCAACGCTAATTATATCCCTCCGCGTGGTTCGCACTGCGGTAGGGGTTTTACACCGGTGTTTTGTACACCAGTGTTTATATATACCCCCGTGTCACTGTTAGGCGGGGCGAAATCTGAGGCGGGGGGGGGGGGGGGGGGGGGGGGGGGGGGGGGGGTCGGTTTCTGAAGGGCTTCAATGATGTCCTCAGGTAGCGTAGTTTCTGGCAACCCCCTCACTCCGACCTTGGTGGGGGAGTTCAGCTGCGGGTGCATAACAGTGCCACTTTATCTCACTGTTAACTTCGGTCCCCTCCGATAAATGTCGTTGTATGATTCTGTATTCGGTGGCGGACTGCGGAAGGAAACGCAT